AATAAAATTATTTATTTATTGAGTAATGTAGAAATGATTCTTTTCATAATTTATTGAGTATTAAACAAGGTCCAGATTCAAACTTCACGATAAGAACTATAACGAAGGTTTGGAAGGAAAACAAAGAGTCAACTTTACATATTTATCTTTCATAATTCGCTCTATTATTTTTTGTCTTGTACTTGTACTACGTGTGCATTGATTGGTTCATTTTAGGCTTCCAGGCTTTAGAAGAAAGAGTGCTAGTATGCTACGGGTTGTTTTCCCTCTTAGATAAGCATTTGAGGTTAAGGTATTTTTATTTGATAAAGTGTTCTAGATATTATATGATATTTTATAGATATGCATACTTAATATTTTTACAAAAAAATTTGGGGGTACAGCTGTACCCCCATGCACCTACACTACATCCGCCCCTGTCTCGAGCACTCCCGTGTCATGGTGTATCCATGCCCCGTAAGTTGTAAAGGCTATAGAAAGTGTATTTCCAAAGTGCACATCAACCTTTGTTCCTAGCATTTTGATGAAAGTACCAACATTTGCAGGTAGCAATAAATTATTGTTGATATCGTTATACAAATATAGAAATGAGCTCACCTTATATTCAATGGTCGTATCCTATGTGTCATGTCCTCATCTGTGAACACATGGTTGATATGTGCCCTTGTGTGTCGAGTTTGTGATGAGTAATTGTCGGAGATGATCGGCTTTGGTTGAGTTTGGAGATGGACCGAGCATGCCGCCTAGAGGGGGGTGAATAGGCGTTTCTAAAAAATCAACCCTTTAAAATGTGGAAACAATTAGTATAGGAATTTTCAATGACTTGGAAATCCCAAACCAGAGAAACAAACCCCTCACGAGTTAAACAACAAAGTAAACAAGGTATAGAGAATGTATCTATGAGCTACAAGCCCTGCAACACAAAGTTAGAACAACAAATGAAAAACTTCAGCTCAGTCAACTAATAACGGACGTGTCCGGTATCAATACCGGACGCGTCCGGTATACATGGGTCCTACCCAGGCCAGCCCTCAACTTGCTCCGATTGATTTCTCTTTTCAATCCAAGTTGCAGACCACTACTAGTAACCTGTTGACAAGCTCAAACAACACACAAAGATCATAAATACCAAATGTAAAGAGAGATCGAGACACGGTATTTGTTTTACCGAAGTTCGGACTCCGTCGAGTCCTACTCTCCGTTGAAGGGGCTGCGAGCGACCCAATGAAGATCAGCTCTAGAGGACCACGAAGGCCACTCTAGTCGGAGTCATTTCCAACTCCTTTTCCTCCTTCCACTAGTTGATCCCTTCCCTTGTGGCGGTCGAATCGAACCATTGTAAATTTTCCGAGACACACCACAATCTCTTGAGTACTCTCCGGCAACGCCTAGCCATCTAGGACCAAAAAGTCCAAGAGTAACAAATGCAAATCACGATATCGATAAATATGCACAAGTGCTCAAAGGTGGCTTGCTCTCAAATTTGAATCTCACTCAACCCACAAGATGGATTTTGCAAATTTGGACAATCACTCACTAAGAGAGAGTTGTAGAGTGTTCTCAAGGCTCAAAAACGTGTATAGAAGTCAGCAGAATCAACAGCCTCCAAAGGTGGAGGCTAAGGGGTATTTATAGCCCCTTTGAAAAACTAGCCGTTATAGAGCCGTTGGGAATACCGGACATGTCCGGTATCAATATTGCTCGTACAGCCCCAACGGTCACTAAGTCAGTGGCGCTGCGAGGCGTCGGAACTCCCGACGATTGTTGTGACTTCCGCCCCCCGAAACTCCCAACTCATGTCGGAACTCCTGATGAACCAAACCGAGAACACCGAAGAAGTCACCACGGCTGACCCAATACCGAACACGTCCGGTATCATGCCGGACATCGTCTGGTATTTCCAGCTGCAGCAAAGCGAGTTAGCACTTGTGTCACTCTTTCACTCAAACCTCACATGGGTTGCCTTGAACACATATGAATAGTCATCTATCAACATGATGCATCCCTCTCAACAGTACGACATACCTATTTACTCAAGATCAAATGAAAATGGAATTGGAACCGCTTGAGTTGATTTCTTTCAAACCAAATGTCATAGCTTCCTATCTTCAACAAGTGAGGGTGTCAATCATGTTAACTTTGATTTTCTTCTTGAGCAAAGCCATTTTGAGCATGTGACTTAATTTCAAACAACAAATGTGAGTTGACTTCAAATGTATCAAGTCACTTCAACAATTCATCCAAGATTTGATCCTCCACTTCAATATGACCATCATGCTTTGATTAGTACCTTGACTAATGCAAGTACTTCCTTCTTCACCCTAGCTAGGTTCCTTGGTCGCCAAGTCGTAGCTTGCCCTTCACCCTTGCTTAGTACCTCAAAGCCTTTCCTTCCTATCTTCACCATCTCAAGCCATCAAGTCACACCTTGTGTTGAATTATCCATTAAGTTCAATTATAATTGTCTTTCAATAAAGCAAGGTTTAGAATGTAAGACCATTCCATATGCAATCCCTCGTCTCATTAACCAAAATCATCAACGTGCTTGTTTTCACATTATTCATAGAAATCCCACAATGATTAAGCCTTGCATAAATATCTTTTGCATTGTTGTCTTGTGTTTGAACTAGATTGTTTATACAACCACACATTATTTTGGTTTCCATCAAGTACCTTATGAGATAACCCATTTTCTGTCCAACACTTAGCACATAGGTTAGACCTTTAATCACGTTGTCCAACACTTTCATGGATGGACATGGAGAAGGTCAAGTAGAGATGTGCCGTACCGATGGACTGGGAGTGGTGAAGGATAGACGTAAGGCTTGGACTAAGGAACCAAGATGGTTGAAAGACTAATTGTGGTGGCTGACACTTGGGGACATCAAGAAGCAAAAGTACATGAGGAGGAGTGACCGTGTTAACCAAGTCAAGACGACGGTTGACCAAGTCAGACGGAGATGATAGATAACTTGGTGATCGGGTGGACGAGGACAATGGTGACATGTGTCAAGATCACGTGGAGGAGGCATAGTGGATACACTTCTCTAGGCGGTTTGGTGGTTTGGGACTCAAAACCACCAGCCAGATAGTTTTTGAGTTTGGGCCTCAAAACCCGGTTGGAGTTCCGGCGGGAACGGGAGGTGGCACGTGGCGTCATCGCGAAGCTTGTGTTGAGGCGAATCAAAGTCATGAAAATCTTGTGGCCGTTGGATGTTTGATCTCAAGTTGGACCATTTTACCCCATGGGTTAAGTGGTTCAACCAAAATATCTAAAGGCATTATTGAAAGTGTGTAATAGCTCTATAAATAAGAGGATGGTTCCTTCTAACTAGCCCATCGCTCCATTCCGGTCTTTAGTTTTAGTTTTAGTATTAATATATCTAAGGGCATTGTACTTAATATGCTTAGTTCTAACATGAGACCACGCGTATATTAAGCACAATGTTTCTTGTAGATCTGTTTAGAATGATGTATTAGTCTTAAGTTGACAATTAATTCTAAGATATATTCATTTAGCATATTTATGCTTAGATGAGTCTAAAACAGATAGTGTCCATACATGTTTACGTTATGAGATAGTGCATTAGATCAATCTAAGTTAGAATGATACATAATTCACTTGTGAATGATGGAGGCCGGAATATTGGTTATTTCTTAATCTAAAAATAAACTTGATTCAATCTATTAAAAGCCCTTTAGAATGGTAGGATTGGAATACTGGAGTAGCCTTTCCATAGGAAACTTTCCTTTCGCTTCAATTCCATAGGAAAACTATAGGAAAAAAATAATTCACCTATATCTCATGGAAAAATTCTATGCACAAAGAACAAGGCAAACAATGGATTTATGAAACCAACTTATGTCTAATCATGAGAGTGAAAGCAATCACTCTTTGCTCCTAAAAATCCTTTAAGATTCCTGTGTTTTGAATTCCTCTGTTTTTTACTTGCATTCCTATCCTATTCCTATGTTTTTCCTTTTCTTATGTTTTACATTCCTGCAATCCAAAGGAGGCATTAATCTCTAAGTGTTTGTTAGCCTAAATAAGACAATTTTATAATCCATGCCTATGTTATCTTTCATAATCAATGGCGGATAAAAAAGAACCTTGGAATAGGAGACAATAAGTTCTTATAAAACACACTAAATTAAAAAAAACATCATGAAAAAAAAAATCATCTATGATATCTTTTATCAATCTCTATAAAAGAATTCCCAGTTGAAATACTTCAGGCATCGTTGCCCCCAGCCAGACAAGCGTTAGCCAGACAGGCGACTCTTCTGAATGCCAGGACCTTAAGAGCTTGCCTAGACCTTGCGGGATCCCAGGACTTCAACCAAACGGGATGAATAACTTTAGACTAGGTTGAGTGCAGGGTTAGTAAAGAACTTTCTGAGTTTTTAAATTAATATCTAGGTACTAGGAACACTTTTCAATATAATAACCAATACGATTTGCTAGTCTAATAATTTGTATTAACTTTTTCTTCAAAACAAGACTAATAGGCTCGATATCTTACAGAGCTGAGCGCTCCTTTTGCTTCCAAGTTTTAACAACTTTTCACCATATATATATGCTCTCCTTTATCCCAACATGTCCATACAAAATACTACCAAAGTACCAATAGAGTTATTCTCTGGAAAATTGCTTACTCTGTAATATCTTAGTGACATTCTCTTTTGAACCTATCCCCAACAAATATCTTAAGTTCTTAACCCTTTTGAATACTTTCCAGGTCTTGTGTGCACAATGCAAGTGCATAGGGTCTTACAGTTTTCTCATCTTGTTTCTTCTTTTTTTCCATTGCTTTTCTCGGATCCAATCCAACAACTAAACACGCTTACACTAATGTGATCGACTAGTTAGGTTTTTCATTTGCTTTTTGCTTCAACACTGATTTTTTACTGACATGAGAATACCGCCTTACACACAAATATCTACCTAGCAATACCAGCTAGATCTTCATGTTCATGCTACTACATGCATGTCTCTGTTTCTAACGTAATGTGCCCCCAAAGGTAGGGGGCCAGAACTCTGCCGGCACTGTCTCGCTAGCAGCCACTGCATAAGTAGTGCTCGCCACCGGGACAACGCACAGCCCTCGACTTCGTAGGTCCTCCTTCGCCTCGTCGCCGTCCTTCACCGGACATGAAATTAAACTTTGTTAATTCATCCATCATTGGAAGGAAACATAACTTTTACTTTGAGGATGCAAATAAAATAAAAATGAACGGCTAAGAACTTGCACTTGTACACTACATACCTGTTGTTGTTGTAGCTGCTGCATAGGCCGTCCATACCTCAGGTAGGGAGAGCTCAGGGACTGAAGAGGTCAGGTTCATTAGTTCGAATCACACAAATCATGCCGACCATGAGTTTTTCCAGATATTTGATCATGGTGAAGTATAGAATTCGTATACTTACAGCTACTTGATCGTGCAGGAACCTAATATATTCGATGGCCTCGTGAAGAACTGATGCGGTATCCGTCTAAAATTGACAGATTGGATGCGATGCATCGAAAATGATGTCAAGTCAAGGTTCATCGATCAACTTATTGGAACGAGATTTTTGCTCAAATGCATGCAGAATTTGAAGGAAGACGAACGAGAGAGAAACCGATGCAGAGAAATTATAGGGGGGATTTTTTTTTAGACAAAGAAAGGGGGGGGAATTAGAAAGGGTACCTTTCCAAAAGGCGAGACTAGTTGCTGGAGAGCAGTGATTCTGTCCCCGAGCTTCTCTTTTCTCACCTGTTCTCGGAGAAGAATCAAAGGCAATAATCATAATTATTCAGTTGATCATCATAGTTTACAAGAACATCTAGCCTGAATTGCATGTTGAGCTGTAAATCAAAAGATGTGTCCGAACAATTGAAGGTGCAAGATGATATAATATCTTCGGATTGCATGCGTCACAGCTGCCCGGTCGGTGCACACCTTGAAGGTCGGCAAAGGAGACGGCGTCGCGACACGGGGCTTCTTCGCCGGCACAGGCGAGCCGGGAACACTTCTCGTCGCCGAGGAGCAAGCGTCTTGTGCAGGTTCCTTATGGGACTGCACCAGAGACCGATCGAGGTGTGACGTGAGAAGAAAACCCTAGCTGCTAGTGCTCGGCAAGTAGTAGGCCGGCGAGTGCAAACGGAAGCGGCCGCGCTGGCGCGGCTCCGCTGCGAACCCGGCCGTATCATACCTTGAAAGCCTTTTGCTCTAAGGTTTGCAAGAGAAGCGGCTTGGTCGTCATGGGCGGTGCTGCCGGCATGTCGCCGAGATTCCGCGTCGACGAGCCAAAGAATTCCTGCTGCGGGAACGGCGGTTTCGTCATCAGCGCTGCCGCCGGCACGTCGCCGCCGTAGCTGGAGTACAGCTGGTTGCCGCCAGCGTACAGGGACGACGCGCTCTGCGACGCTGCCGCCACGGGCGCCGCGCCGTCAGCGCGGAGCTGCTGACCAAGAAGGAAGTGGCGATCGGCGACGTCGCCGTGGAGCTGGCGGAGCAGTGCGTTGAAGCTGGTGGTCGCCGCCTCTGCCGCCGGCGCCGACGCTCTCCCGCCCCTGTCCATCGTGCAAATCGCCATGCATCACGCATGCAACCGTGTGGAGAGAGTGCGTGCCAAGTCGAGAAAAATGAGAATTCTCGGCTTACATGTAGATGTAGGCTTGCGTCCAGTCCATATGATGGGGTGGATCAGCGAGGAAGGATGGCGGGGCGGCAGCGTCCAGTTGGTCCGTGGCCGGAGCTGTGGAGCAGGGCGACCCGCCGTCGTCGACAGTACGCGTCGAGCTCCACCACTCATCTGCCATGGGTCGGTTTTGCTAGCTAGAGGAGGGCGTCCAGCGTACTACTGAAGAAGACGACGATGCATATAGGAGTACTATCCCAAAGTAGTTTAGAGAAGGATTTGGCTGGTATATATTTTCAGGGCTTGGAGTGAAAGTTAACGTGAAATAGACGGTGGACCATGGGATCAGTTTGTGCAGGGCAACGGAGTCTCTGACTTGTGAATTCTGAGACTTCTGACCATTGGACACAGCTAGTTTTGGTCACAAGGCCCTTACTCGTAGATCGGATTGGATTGTGATGGTATATTGCCTAGTCCTGTGCATAGTGCGAGTACACATATAGTCAAGCGGCTCTGGTGTAGTCAAACGCAAGCACCGTGTTCATGAACAGTGCGGCCAGTGACCCTAGCTAAGTTGACACTTTGGAAAGGTGGCCGGCCCCAAACAGTGCCGGCGTCGAGGGACAATGGCCGATGGGCGAATAATGTTTTCTCTGCCGGCGTCCAGGATGTGGGGATGTTTATTCGAGCAACAGGCGATTGAGTAATCCACCGACATGGGTGGCGTAGGTATGCTGGTGTAGGCGAGGGGGCAACGGTGTGCACGACGGTTGGGTTGAAAGCGCGGCGTGTGTGACGACCGTGGGCAGATAAGCACTAATGAACCCGCCATATATATATGCATCGCCATCGAAAAGGCAACTAGGCGACGACGTCAATTATGACAGATGGAACGAAGAGCTAGTCGAGCGTGCCGCATCCAGAAATAGAGCGAGGGAAAAAATAGAACAAAACAATATTTAGGTCTGTAATCGGTGGCACGGTGGATTCTCATAAACCAAATTGACGGTGGCTTGTAGCGTGTGTGACGTACCTTATCGATGATTTATTGCTGATTTATTGTACCGTGTTGTTGGCGACCAAGGAAAGTTTTTTTTTTTGTGACTAGCGACCAAGGAAAGTTAAGACTCGCAGTTTTGTACTAAGCGTAAAGCAACGGTGACGTGATTTGCTATATGGCCGTGAAGGTTCAGCTGATCAGCTCTGTCAATCTCAGACGTTGTTTCTCCTTTAAAAAACTCTAGATGTGACCAGACGAACTCTAGTCTTGCTCGTTATTAGGCCTTGTTCCGCCTTTTTCAGCCATGAGCCATCAAAAAAAGCTGTTTATCGCGGTTGATGCAGTGGCATGAGGCCATCACAGTAGCTGTACGAGATTATCGGCACGGTTGATTGTTTGCGACGGCAGTGGCACAGTAGGTTATACTTATACAGTACTCCGTACGTGCGATCAGGCTGGCGTTGCCCGGCTTGCGCCGGAGCGGCGGCGAGGGCCCCACACGCACCGCTGCTTTCCCGGCGCGTACGTACCGTTGGTTCGGCGGGCCAATAGGCTGGTTGTCTGGTTGCAGTCAAAAGCCCCGAAAGCGACGGTCGCGGGCGCCTGCACCGCCCGTCCGCCGGCGACCTCAGCTCTGCACCAGCAATCCAGCAGCTAGGGAGCTCGTCAACTCATAGTGTCCTAGACTCCTGTATGTAGTGGTAACAATCGTCAACGAGAACCGCGTGCAAGAATATGCATCGCCAGATTGTCATTTGTCAACGCAAGTCAGTTACTGACACATATGGAGGTAGTGGTAGGGAACGAGAACCGCGTGCAAGAATATGCATCGCCAGTGGTTGGCGACTTCGCGTACGTCACGACGCGGCGGCCGGTGCTGTGGATGGGCCGGAGACTGACGGACGCCGGTCGGAGAAGAAGACAAGAGGAGCCCGACGACGTCCGTGGCTAATCAACCAAATTAACTACTTCATGGCGGCTACAAGCAGACAAGGTTAGTTACGACTAGGACGCAACTGCTGTGACTATGAGGGAATTAAAGCCCCTGGTCAGCTCGGTGTGTTTAGCCAACGTAAAGCTTTGCATGTTCTTAAGTAAGAGTAATAGTAGTAAATTAACGAAGAAGGGGTCGTATGCTGATTGATTGACTCCAACGGTACTAAACCCAAAAATATAGCTAGTCCAGTGGATTTTATCGAGATACCGGTTGGGATGACCCATTTATTTATGGATGACACCACTTTCAGAATCTATGGTTCCGAGAATGGCCGGCTTCCTTCCCTTCCTCGCCCTGGAGCACCACCTCGGCCCCTGTATAAATGTCCATGCAGCCCGAGGTCGGGAACTCAAGCTCAAGCTGGCTGACTCACGAACGGCTGAGCGCCAAATTTGGCTCGCCGGAGATGCCTTGGCATGGAGCTGGCCGCTGCCAGGCCAGCTGCCTGGGCCGTGTGGGCCCGGGCAGCGCCGAGGCTGCCGTCGGCCGTGCTCCGCCCTGCTCCATCCCTCCTCCTCTACTTCACATCAGTACCAAGGAGATGAGTTCTTCCGGTACCAAGTAGTACTACTAGTTCTACTTCTACTTTAGCGATGAGGAGGCCCGGCCGATTTTGATTTTGAGGATATGGCCCGGTGGGAGCGGTCCGAACCTCCCTCCTCCCTGCCCCGCCGGGCGCCAACGTGGACACCGGTCACCCGATGAGGCCGTGGTCGGCGTTGGTGGCGAAGGAGGTCTCGCCCCCGCGCGTATCGCCGCGAGCGGCGTGTGGCGCCATTGTTGAGAGAGCTGAGTTTATGGATGCGTGACTTTTTCTGCGGCGTAACCCCGTGAATGGATGTCAGGTCTCCATGGTTGGAACGATCCTAATCCTATTTGCACTCCACACCACCAGAACGCTGGCTTCTCGCCTCGGCCCCGTGTATAAATGTCCATTGCTCTCCTCGCACAAACCCTCCAAATTTGGCTCCGCCCAAGCACGGCCTGGCCCGGTGGTGTGTGGGCCGTGGCTGGCCTGCCCGTAAGAGGTGTCGTGTCCGCCTCCCCGCAGCCTGGCCTTTAGGATATGTTCGGGAGCGGTGACCTCGACCTCCTCCCAGCTCTCAACACCAACGGCCGCTGCCCAGCCAAGAGCTCCTCCTCCTCCTCCTCCCGCCCCTCACCCTCTCCTAATCTATTTCACTCCACCCACCTCTCTCTCTCTCTCTCCCTCTAGACTCTCTCGGTGATTATCCTCCCCAACTTCAGTTGAGTGACCTCGGTCATCACTTGTCCTTCTCCTCCTCCTCCGCCTCTCCGCCTCCTCTCCCCTCCCTCTGCTCTCCCTCTAGATCTCGGTGATTATGTGAGTTCAGAGTTCGTGGTCCTTTATTTGTCCCACCTCCGCCGCTTCAAGTCGCCCTTGCTAACTCGTCTTCTCTGGGTGGCCCTCGTCTTCTTCTGCATCGGGCTCCGGTTGCGCAGGTAAAACCCTAACCCTAACCCTCCTCTTGTTCCATTGATCTATTCTGATATGATCTTTTCATCCTCCTCCATCTGTTTGCGCAGGTCGGTAGCCGATGCGTCGTCCTCTAGCTGTGGCATAGAGCGACCAAGGCGGCCCCGCGCACCGTTGAGGAACGGTGCTGGAGAGCCGTCCGCCATGGCGGCTGATGATGATGATATCGTCTGGCCGCTCACCGGCAATGATGACTTGATCACGGCAGGCCTGGCCCCTGAGGACGACGATGACACCGGAGAGGACGCTGCTACATTGTTCGGTATCGATGTCGGTAGCGGCTCTACTGCTCCGACTCTGATCGATCTGGACAGCGACGGTGGTGAAGGGGCGACGGTGACTGGGAACCCGCTGGGCTCCAACAGCTCTGCTCTATCTGTTGCTGGTAACTCTAATGTTGGTAAGCGCAAATCACATGTGTGGGCTGATTTTGATGAGATATATGAGACTGTGAATGGTAGGAAGATTTGCACTAAAGCTACCTGTAAAATGTGTAAGCAAATCTTGTTTGCTAGATCTAATGCCGGCACTAGCCACTTGAAGAGGCACCAGAAATCTTGTAGGCAGAAAAAGTTGGTCTTCGGTTGATTGAGGTGAAACATACTGGTGAAAATATTGCTGAAAGAGTTACTTGTGTGGTTCAGGAATTTGGTTTGATTGACAAGGTTTTTTCCTATAACTTTAGACAATGCTTCTTCTAATGCTAAGGTTATTGAAACTATGACACCTATGTTTACTGGATATTTGGATTCTGATCCTGCACCTGATCCTTCAGATCCTAATAAGCATAAGTATAGTCTTGTGCATCAACGTTGTGCTTGTCATATCATTAATCTGATTATAAAATCTGGTTTAAAGAGGTTCAAACCTTACACAGAGGATTTTAGAACTGCTATTAACTTCTTAAATTCTTCTAATCAAAGAATTGATATGTTCAAGAACTACTGCACTGTTCAGGGTGTTAGACCTAGAAAGTTTGGCTTAGATATGGATGTTAGATGGAATGCTACATACCTTATGCTTAAACACTTGCTTCCATATAAGATTGTTTTTTCTGTGTTCATTAATGCCAATTATGGGTCAACATTTTTAATTGCAAGGCATTGGTATATTGTTGAAAAGATATTAAAGTTCCTGGAAATTTTTTATGAATCCATTGTTGTTCTTTCTGTTGTTTACTATCCAACTAGTCCATTTATTCTGCACCATCTGCTAGACATTGCTTCTCATTTGCATGCAAGTGAAAAAGATCAAAATATAATAGCTGTTGTATATCCTATGAAGCTTAAATTTATTAAATACTAGTAGGATATACTTCTGTTATATTCATTTGCATTCATTCTTGATCTTAGAGCTAAGTTGAGAGGTTTATTTAATGTTCTTCAAATACTTAAAGAGAACACTGGTTGCGACTACAGTTCTTATTATGCTGATGTGAAAACTGAAATTTACAAGTTGTTTAACAAATATGAGAGAAAGTTTGGTGCAGCTAGGTCTCAAAGGGCTGCACAGCCTGCAAGCCATACATGTAAAAAAACAGGCATGGGAAAGAATCTTTAGAGGCCTTGGATCATCTGGTGTTGTTGTTTCTTCCCCTGCCTCTGCCCCTACTCCATCTCTATCTACTTCTGTTGCTGCTTGTGAGCTCTCAGCTTATCTAGACAGTGACAATGTCACTGCATATGA